TATTGACTATTACCTTACACAAACTGGGGGAACAAGGTCTTTAAACAGCTGAACCGATTTTCACCAAACATAGCTAAAATCCATCCCGAATAAATAGGCCTTCAAATAAAAAAAAACGCTTTAAAACAGATCAGCTGCTTGAGAGACACAGACATACACAGATAAGGTTATCACTCCGAAATAGACAAAAAGCCTAATAATGGACAAAAAGCCTAATATTTACAAGAAAATCTGGACTTTTTTGTAATAAAATAAAATATCTCTCTCACACACAGATGCAGAGTTGGACGAGCGCACGGATATAAAATTTTTACGTAAATCGGATTTTATTACAGAATTTGCGGGATGGATTTTTTCATTTTGCAAATTGTTACCCCTAGCCAAAAAATTCGGACAAAAGCCTGACAGACGGTCAAAAAGTCGGACATGTCCGATCAAATACGGATGGATGTTAAACCTAAATAAAATCGAATTCGAAGGTTAAAAATAACTATCTTAATGATATTTTACGTCTATGTAAATGAAATGAAAAACAACGATTATTTCAATACAATGCTAATAAGACGATTGTGAATCTTCAAATGCAAGTGATTACGGAATAACAATCTAATTTTTTTTTTAAAAGAATTGACTACAATTCTAGTTTACATTCAACAATAATGCTGTTAACAGAATAACTCTGAATAACAGAAAAATTCTGTATAACCCAATTAAGTTCACTTAAATAAGCATAATTTTATGCAGTGACAAAAATATTGTTATTGTTAACAGGTAGACATGTTCAGAAAGAATGAAATGACAGACACATGAAAATAGAATTATAAACGTACGAGTATGCGAGACACTAAACGACTTATATATAAAACCGGCAAGGATGTTTATTATTATTATAAACTTACAGCCAAGAATATTCAGATTATTGAATATCACAATGTTTTACCACAGATTACTTAATAATTACTATGTAACTGATAACATCACTCTCATACAAAATCGAAAATCTCTGCGCTATAATAGCCTACTACATCTGATTAATGACGCCAGGCGCTCCCTACGAGGGAAAAAGGAACCTAAGCACCCGCTCAGAGACTTGAAAATAACTTTGCCCGCCGTGTGCAGTCGTGCGAAGCCGAATGCTGTTAAATAAAAGATTTATATGAGAGCTTGCGCCGACGTCGGCGCACTCAGCGGTCGGCACTTATCGCATAACATTGAGCAAGAGACGGAGCCCTGGTTTTACTTACATGATACCATATATTCAATTATTTTTTGTGAAAGTACTCCTCAGCCACGGTATGCTGAAGACGCTGGTTCAAATTAAGCTAGATCGAAGGAATTTTTCTTAGTGTTTGATCTTTGTATTAATAAATATAGAAGTTGTACCAAGTTCTGCTGGCAACGGGTCTCTTTTAAGGAAGGAGGGTTGTTATTCAACAATGCCTTAGCCTCGTCCACTATGCTTTGTGGGTTGAACAACTTATTCTTCTACGAAGAGCGCGTGATTTAACGTCACTGAGAGTACGGGGAGTATAAAGATTCGTGTGCAATAATGGCAATTCTACTATCGTACTCGTGCTTAAACGTTTTAAATAATCTTTATTACCACAGTCTAGTTGTGATAGTTGAACGTTTAATGGGTCCATGATGGTAAATAAACATCACCAATTAAATGGCAAGTGGACTAATTGCCTGCTGCTGCAAACATTCGTAACATGTTTGTATATAAATTTACGTCCTTTCGCGGGCCCATATCCGCATGTAGATAAGGTAGAATTTTCAACAAAAAAATTTGTGACACCGGTAACATAAAAAGATACATTGTTTATTCTACCGTACATGCATGGAATTTGCGTAGAATTTTGCACGTAGTGAAACGAAATGGTTATCTATTTCAGCATCTGTTTTTTCCAATTAAACGCATAACAAAATGTATAGTATATTGATGTCATAATTGTAATGGATAACTATTTTATACAGTGTGGTACTTACGCTTTATAAATATAGACTTAATTTCAGAAACTTTAATGACCATTTTCCAAAAGTTTGCAGTGCCCTTTAGTAGCGGTATCGATTTCAATGTGTGATATGTTAGAAATCAAGGGACAAATTCAGAAGAGAAGTGTGTGTGTGCTCTCACTAACTGCCTTATCTGATATTTTTGTCTTAAATGAGTGAGACGTACAATCTTAATCAGCTTTCGATAGCTAAACACACTCTACTAAGTATGGCATCATATTTAATTTCACCAGCACCCTTACCCTTCAAAACCAGAACGCAGTAATGCTCACATAACTGCTTGGCGGCAGAAATAGATAAGGTGGCAGTACTTCCCAGGACCAACACTTTTAACATTTATATAATAACATTGTAACCTTTTTTACATACATACATATATACTTATAACATTTTTAACAGCAGTAATTAGAACATTTTTTATTGTCATTTGCATATTCATGACACTAATGATTATATGATTATATTAAGGCAGTAACACATTTCTTAATCAAAAACATAAATTGGGCGGCGAACTAGACTGGTCCACATCGCGGCATTTTGTGCTTAAATACAACCCTGTGTGTAACTCTTGTTTAGGCCCATACTAACAGACCGACCACAACAAGATGGGTGATTTCAAGATCACGCTTTAGATACAGTGCAAATGAATAAACGAGTAAATTATTTGCACTTAAACAAACGATTAATTGCTATCAAAAATACGGAGCATAAAACATGAATGATATAAAAACGATCCTAAATTAAAATTATCTTTGATAAAAATACGTTTTGTTATATTTAAAGACCAATCCATCATTCCGTGACAGGTGCTTCATTCGGCCTATTCGTGTAAAACTAGCCAATCTAATCTACTGATATCACTAGTGGATCAATTCTTAAATAATTTGTTCCACGTAATCCATATCTTCGGTATTTTCCATTGTCTCTTTATTGCATTTAAAAGTTATTCAATATCCTTTTCCCATTTTTTGCAGTCCAAGTATTAGTTACATGTCTTAGGTATTAAGACTAAGCACCAACTGTACTTACAAAGCTGATAATGTTACTTATGCAGTTCCACATTTCAGTTACGTATAGCAACCCGCAGTTGAAGACATGGAAAATTTCGAAATGCTTTGTTGAACATTGTACCTTGCGTCATTTAGGGTCGTATTCCAGAACTCTACTCAATGCTCAAGTCAAGATTTGAGCAGACTTGAGTATGATTTCAAGCACTGGAAATACGACCCTAACGGCAAGGACTTGAGTATGATTTTCAGTGCTCACTGCAATACTCAAGTTCTGACTTGAGTATTGAGTAGAGTTCTGGAATACGACCCTAAGACTGCGTTGAATTTAGCAGATTAAAAAAGTACTTTATATAGTTTAATCCACGTTTAGCGGGTGGCTGAGTACACAACCGAAAGCAAAATAGCCAAACATTGTAGGAATAACATATAGGTAGTAACGTTAACAATTAGAGAAACCACCTATTTTGTCGCGTTTTAGAGCGCGAGTACATACGTGTACCCCGCCTTGACTTCCCATTGATAGAGGTTATCAATCGTTACTTAACACGATCTTTTTACTATCAATCTAGACAAGCATATTTTGTTTCACTTTCATTTATCAATCTTTTATTCAAGACGTCCTCCTATTCTTCTCACTACGTCCTCTAGCCTTTTTAAGAACACTCTTGGCTTGATCCAAAAATTTTCTTCGTGACTATCCTCTTTCAATGTTGCCTTCTACATTAGCTCAAAATTTTTTTTTCGACAATCTACATCTATTCCTTGACACCAAGCCATATCCGCATCGCCCTTATTTTGTTGTCACCGCATCCTCTTTCAAACAAAATCATGTAAAATACAATTTATATTTATGTTGTCAATATCAGTTTCCTAATAAAAATTGATTTCATTTGTGTATATCATCAAGGCTCCATAACCACTTAACAATTGACTGCCCTGGAATTTGATATCAACAGGGCAGCCAGATTATTGTGTAAATTGAAATGATTTACGAGGGACCATCTAAGAACTTTTAAATAGAGACTCATGGATATAATAGAAATTTATCACATAGTCAACTTTCTAAATGGACTAAAGTTTAGATTTTGAAGTGAATGAAGTCAACTTTACTACATCATTAACATAAATATAGACTTGGCAGCATTTTAGTCTAATACAATAGGAAATTCAACTTTACTAATCACATGACACTAATCACAGTAACAAGAATTAGGACATTAAAATGGCTTATGGAAAATCCACTGTACAAATTACACTACCTTATGACAATTATATACTACATTCTCAATGTGAATAAACTATAGTACGTTCATTAATCAACACTGGGTGTCATTGATGTTCATATCATTGACAGATTTATTTTACAAACTTAATAAACAACTTTTGTTATTGGATGTTAATATAACAATTTCTATCTTATATTTAATACTATCAATGACACCGGTAACATCAAGGTTAAGAGAGACACGCGTTTATTAATGAGAACTTGATCGGTGATTTACGACAAATCTGTCAAATTCTCACAAAAATTGTTCAATGCGACAAACAGTACGGCAGATGGGCGTTGATTTGTCATTAACTACCATAATAATTTCATAAGTCTAAATTACAATTTTGGGTCGTCTAGATAACTAGATACATAAATAAGTGTCATTTTTGATAGCCTAATTAGCTAAGTAGTTCTTCATAATATTTACCATTATATTTAAAATGAAATTCAGATTTTTAATTTTTATTGAATTGATATTCAATTATTTTTTGTGAAATTACTCTACTAGTTTGTTATAATTATTAAATGCAAAGATCGAACACTCAGAAAAAATTCCTTCGATCCGGCCGGATTCAAACCGACGTATTCTGACACGTTATGCTAGAAGACGTCGGTTCGAATCCGGCCGGATCGAAGGAATTTTTTCTGAGTGTTCGATCTTTGTATTAATAATTATGAAATTCAGATTTTAAAATGATACTTACATGAGTTGTAGCAGCAGTGTGAATCAATGGTGTAGGTTCAAATATGCATACTTCAGCTCCGTACGCCGCAGCTATCTTTCCAGTGTCCGTACTACAGTCGAGCGAGCCAATTCGGATATAGCCATGAATTGCACCTGGAATGATTTGCACTCTCTCGAAGTTGGATGCTAATATCACTATGTTACATCCCGCAGCATATGCCTGGAAATAAAAAATATATGTGGGTTCTATATAGACAAAAAACAAAGGATTGAATCAGATAGTCTCGCTTTTGACCCCTTAAAAATCCATTTATATGAAAAAATATATAACAATGTAACATTTACATTGAGAAGAGAAGATTGCCCAACTGTGAAACTAGGTGAAGACGTGCTACCCCACAATACTGTTATTAAATACTTGGGATTCTACCATGACTGCAGACAAACCTGGAAAACATATATACAAAAGAAACATGATGAGGTCAACAACGAATTCAGATCATTCGAATGGATTCTGGCCAAAAAATCCCGATTGTCTCTCGAGAACAAGTTAACCATCTACAAAACAGTTCTCAAACCGGTTTAGAGTTATGGATTACAACCGTGGGGATCAGCAAGTATATCAAACTTGGAGATATTACAGAGGTTCCAAAATGGTGTGCTCAAAACTCTGGTAAAATGCTCCATGGCTATTCATTCATGGTATTCACAATTATCTGCAAATCCCTACTGTCAAACAGGAGATAAGTAGCATGACAAAAGCCTAAAAGGACAGAATCTCACAATATGAAAACAAGCTTGCACAAGCTCTGGACGAACCACTAGGTAACAGACGATTGAAGAGGCGCCACATGTCGGACTAAAGGAAGGAGAAATTGGAAAGATAAAGGCAGCCTAACACAGGGCGGGCGAGCCTAACACGTCAAATCAATGATAACAAAACAACAGCTCATGGTCCATGGACCGATTGCATGCTGCAAAAGGCATCATAAACAAAATTTTTAATAAATAACAAAAATAAGTTTCAATTCCAATGTGTAGCAAATCGTTAAACCTATGAAATCGATATGTAATACCATTCATCTTATTGTATCAATGGCATACACTAATTAAAAATAATTGCCAATCAGCATAAGGTACTCGCTGATTGGAGCCCAAGGTGCGACAGACGTACAGGAAAGGAATGGTATGTCGTTTGGGGTGACTCCTTTACGTAATACCATTTACAGACAGTGGAATAATTTTAATTATACAGACACACGTCTTTCACTTCATCTTGGTTGTCTGTAACCTATGGAATAATTTTAATTATACAGACACACGTCTTTCACCTCATCTTGGTTGTCTATAACCTAAGCTGATCGGAAAGGGGCGTGAAGTATATAGTCGGGGATAGTGCAATTATGCGTAACTAGCATTGGATTATAAGTTACCATTTCAAAACTCAGTGGTCAAATCAAATCCGCCTCAGTGTCGTGGCCAACAAATTTGCGTGATTTACGGGAATCTATTGTTATGAGCCCGTAGACAACATAAATTAATGCTTACTGCTAGTTGTTGGAAAATATTCCTCCTCCTATCCGTAAAAGCGTACAAAAAGAACTTTCAAGCAGAAGCTGCAGGAGTATCTTTTAAATATGCCGAAATTGAAAAAATGAGTGGCTACGGTGTTTAAAAAATTAAATTAAATTGGATGAAATTAAATTGGATTGAATTGAATTAAATTCAATTGGATTGAATGGTTTTGAATTGATTTAAATTGGTTTGGTTTTTGTTTTATGAGTAGCGTCTCTGTCTTATAGGGTCCTGGCAGCACACCAGCGTTGCGGACAGCCGCATCTTTTTTTCTGAGTCAGTATCTTTTCACAATATGATTTCCAAGGGAGATATTAGTAGAATATATAACTGTGCTACGTCTAAGTTAGTGTCTGTATCATGTGTCTGTGTACATGTTTGTCACAGTGGTGAATAAACATTTTATCTATTTACTGTGCAAATATGAAAGTCGTAGCCATTGAAATAACAAAGTAATAATGTTAAATCCCTCTCCTGTAAAATTTGGTTTAGAGCATATGGGCGACATTTACCAATACTACATACGCGGATTTGCACTAACCCCGATAATATGTATGTCCATATAAAGAATATACACATATAGAAGAAAATTTTCAAATATTTATAATATCACATATGATAATGCTTAAAAAAACATTGTGATTGAAAAGCATGAACACAAACACTTCAATCAAATAATAACAGTACAACATACATAACAGTATTCTGTGTAGTAGCTTTACAAAGAAGTAGCAAGTAAATATTTATGAATAAAGATGTTGTAACATCTTTATTCTTTGTTGTTGTTCTTTAGTAAAGAGAGTAGAGATAACTGACATCTTTTGATGTTGGTTATGAAGGATGTTATGACTGAAAAGTTTAATAAGACCAAAAAACAATGCCAGATTGCCCCACCTCAAAAATATTTTATGTATGGATGGCAGCATAGCTAAACATTGACAGATCTTATTCCATTGACCTAAAGGCGAGATTCTAACAAAAGTCTAAAGCTTGACATGCTGAATTTTACTTTTAGATAAAATTTTCAATTCACTATTGTCAGATAATGGCTTGCAATGCCTTAATTAAGGCATACTTTTGCTACAAAGCAGAGCTCACAAAATGTAATGGGAGGGTAAGAGTAATCCAGCATCTAGTGTTATAGAAGTTGAAAAATACTATAATTTGTAATTAAAAAATATTAGAGTTCAAAATCGCAATGTATAGTATGTAATTTTCCCTCTGGAGAAATACTGGCATTAATACTTATTGTTAAGTTAAAGAGATACTTAACAAGATTACCTGAAAACACTAATTGGTCTACACAAATCAATGTATTTTTCCTTTTGTTGGTATTAGCACTTCTACAAATTTTACTTAACAATTAATATTGACAAAATTACCTATATCATTGACATGAGACTGAATGGAGACCAGTGACTTTATGGAAAGAAAGTTAATTTTCTATGAAAACCATAAACCAAAAGGTCTAAAACATACAGATAGGATGAGTTAGTAGAACTGCAGAATAACCTTGAAGTTTCTTTTTAAAACAGGCTCCCTATTCAAGATAATCAAACATCAAGACAAGATAAAGTATTCATTTCGAAACAATGATGCATTAAATAATACGAAGATAAACACAGTCCTCACCTACTATATTGTTATTCAAATATCACTTCTCATCCCATGCAAATTAGTGGCCAAGGAAAATCATTTCTATCTAAACCATGGCAAATTGTGAGGAATGAGGCTAAACTCACAGATAAACCGTCAAACAGAGATAATATCGTTTAATATTCAAACGAAAATGATTTTCAGCTTATCAAACTAAATTACGTTTTCCTGTATAGACCATTACTACGCTCTGACACATGAAGCCTCGTCACGAGACTCGGCTCGAGAGTCCTTGAGGCCACTACTCACCGTGAACGGTATTCCTTCCACTGAACCAACAGCAAAACATTGATCTCCTGAATTACAGGCCCCACTCAGCACTTGGTGACAGTTCATAGTGAACTAATAAAACTACGATTTCTTCGCTATATCACACCCAGCCAACTCAATGTCACTGGCACACCTTCACTAGCATCATACATTATTAGAAAATGAAATAAATACTATGAACATTGCAAGATTTAATTATTTTTCTAATAAAATAAAATCTAGAATAATTCTCTGACACCACACATCGAACGTGAGAGAATGACGTCGAGTGTGAAAGAGATAGAAATATAGAGTGTGTTCGAAACCTTTGAGAGTTTCAAATATTTTGAAATACAAAAGTTATTGTTTGCCACATCACCGTTAAATATAGTACATATGTGATGTATTGACCAAATTTTGTACAAATAACTTTGATTCGTGTTACATTTTTGATAGATAATACGACATTGAAATGCCTTTATTTTCAATGGCTTTGACATTTCGAATGGCATGTTGTTATGTTTTGAATGAACCTGACCTACTGCCAATGTTAACATGTAATTAGAAATACTTCCCAATATACATACTGTCAGTTGTTCAACGTTCTCTAAGTATACATACATAATATACTCTTTTTTTATCTCTTCTCTTTAATTTTAAAAATATAAAAATGCAAGCGTCAAAACAAATATGTAATTTCATTTCACAACATGGAATGAAATCGTAGACTGCTGATTAATAGGACAAAACTATGGACAATTTAACTTAAAGCAATAATCAGCCACCACCATAGGACCTCTAAATGTACCAGAACGTTGGTTTGTAGGAAAAAAAATATATGTATGCTATTTTAGATCAGAAAAAGTTTTATTTCCTAATTCAAATACGTTTTTACAATTTGTAATTATCTAAATTATCCACTACAGAAACTTACGAACCTGAAAATCGATTCTAGTGAATTTTTCTTTTCAATGGTTTTTTATTTAGTTAACGACACAAGTTGTATTCAACGTCTTTATTTTAAACTCATACATAAGCAACGGGAGATGTGGTATATATAGCAACCCCATAGACGTACGACGTAACTTTTGAGGGACGGTGTAAACTTTTCTGAACTCAAATAATTTATTTTAAAATGTATGATAAATAGTTCTGTTTTGAATAGTGTCCATGAATCAAAATACTTAATTGTGAATAGCATTTAACAGTCTTGGCAATCAACTATGAAATAAAAATATTTTTGTTTATTTTGGCTGTTAATTTTTGACAGTTCATGAATTTATGCGTTACGTTCCATAGTCATTTATATATGGCCAACGTAGAGTCAGACGTTGAATAAGCTGTTTTTGTGTATTGATCAGTTAAACGCGATAATTGTTGTATTATTCGCGATTGGAAGGACATCATTACGAAATATCTGTGTTTTGGTGATATATTTGACATCGTGACTGTTTGCAGTGTTTGTAACAAGAAGCCCCCAGCTAAGGTATGTTTCTTGCAGATATTTTACAAATTTCTAATTAATTTCTAAAAATTATCTATCAACCTAGTTTCCATAGATTTCCCACTGGAAAGATTTTTCATGTATAATGTTTTCAATGCTCTTTTACGAATTTTTGGGAATAGTCATGAACCTAAATATCTGTTAACAAAAAAAAAACATGTAGATTTAAAAAACATTTTCTACGACATACTAGGCGAACTATATTTCATTCACTTTACACTGACAATTTCAAAACTTCATAGATATTAACGAAAAATATTTTTTTCTCATGGGATCTATTTATAATATCGTGATTGTCGCTAATGTCAACAATAACAATAAATACAAAAAAAAATATTTATCACTATGCCTTCTTAGCTGAGTTACAATTTTACTTTCCTATCTATAGTATATCTCTTAATTCAGCATGGCTTTTGGCATAGGCCTCCTCCAGATCTTTCCAGTGAGTTCTGTCAAGAGCTACTTCTTCTCCAATAGAAACCTGCATTCAGCTTCCGCTCCTCTTAAAAAAATATAGACAATCAAATTATTGGCAGAACACAATCACATCAAATAAAAATAAAATTACAAATTCTTTAAAACAATTTTTCTACATTTAATTGTCCAATAAAAAGAGTTTTAGTCAGGTATAAAACATATGATCGTTTGTAACACTTGAGATAACATTAAATAAGTGATTATTGAAAATTTGGTTCTATTTCACTATCTTTTTAATTCATTGATCTATATTAGACCAATGAAAATCATAAATTATAACTACTTTTTTACAAAATATTTTAAAGTACAAAGTAACAAAATAAAAAATAAAGCTACTACAACTAACAAAATTTTACATTGCGTGCGTAATAAATTTACTGTGTAGAAAGGCCTTGGTATGCAGCATGAATAACCTCCCAATGATAATTAGGGCTCTCATGGGGTGCTACAATACCCACTGCTGGGTCAACATATAAACCTAGCTTTTAATTCTGTTAGCCTTTACTTGAGTTGTAATAAGTGGTAAACACCATTGCTGTTCACAGTGGTACAGGCTCTGAGTCACTTTAACAATAATTATTTTAAAAATTAAATTAATGTTATTGTTATGATAATAGTAATGTAATGCTTTAACAGTTGGAACCAGGATGTCATGGTATTGATTAAATAGGTTGGTTGCAACAATGTTGTAGTGCCCCTTCATTTTTTATTCAAATTCAGTTTACAGTTACAAACAGAACTCAAAAGAGGTTTGCAAAACTGAACACAAAACGCAACCAGAGAAGATTTTGTTTGTGATATTAAGTGATGTGTGGAATAAGTTGTCAGTTTGGTGGTAAGCAACATGTCTATCTATAACAGTTGCAGTGCCACGCAAAGCTTTAAATTGCAAATATCTTATTACTGCCACTGCATTTGCTGCCCTGAACCATTAAGTTGACAGGTCACCTATCACAAACTCGAATTTTATTTTTCCGAAATCATGTTTGTTCGAATTTTGATTACACTGAAAACTGAATTATAACAAAACTGTTGTTTTTTCAGGATATGTTGCGATATTTATCGCAAAGACACAATTAAGTTCGGTTAGGTTAGGTTTGAAAGAAAAAACATTTTCCTCTTAAAATTACGTTTGAGGTTATGAAAATTCGAGCAAACGTTATTTTTGGAAAATGTCATTTCGGAGTACTGATAGGCTTGTATAGTTCATGAACTACGAACTACTAGGAATATATTTCTGACACTGACCGACATGAACTAGTTTGTCTTGCAGGTTGTTAATAGTTTTATTGTTCTTTTTAGTTCAGTACGAACTAGGAATTGTCTGCATTGATAGTTCACCTGTCTTTTATTCTGTAGGAACTGTGCGAGTGGGACAAATAACGATCTTTCACGGCTTTTCGTACAAGTTCGTGTGATATGCTTGATTGAATGTTGAGAGCTTGTTCTAATTTTTTAATATGTATCTACATTATGTATATATGTAAACTTGCAAAAAAGTAAGTGCTCATATTTTTTGGTAAGTATCTGTGTGTATAATATCCACCTATGTGTATGAGTATATGAAATAGTTGTACCTAAATATTGATTTTTAAACATGCCATTCTAACTAAAATTCTTGTTTTGTAAAAAAAGGATATTTAGTTAGAACGACAGTCGTTAAACCTGTAAAATATGAAGGAAAATCAAATAATACCGATTCCATACAAACCGTATTTTGAAATATTTAGTACAGTTTACTATTGACCTCATATTACAAGAAGTTCATTGTAGTTCATGCGAATAAAATTACTAGTTAGTTCAATGTCCGAGCAAGGACAAGACGAACTAAGGAACTTGATGAACTAGAAGACTGACCTAGTTCAGCTGACTGATTGAACTAACTAAGATCGCTCCCTCTAAGGACCAGTCAATAATAGTTAACCAAGTTGACAAGTTCCATGTGCTTGTAGTTTCACCAGCACCCTTACTTTTCCAATGAGGTAATAATAATAATCACCGTAATACAGTGATGCTCACATTACTCCTTGGTGGCAGAAATAGGTAAGGTATTTCCCTGGAAAAACTCTATCAAGGAGCTCTACTGCTACTAATCTAAGTATATGGAATTGATATGTTTTTTGTTACCATTATTTACTTCACTACTGTTGTATTCTATCTATCTGCACATGCTGAAATGCTGATTACCTAAATGAAGTAATAGTTATCTCTCTCCGTCTCTGGTTATAGACACGCATGCTGTGTGCAGTACATTACAAAGTCATACTTATGCCTACAAACTTAGGAAACTAGGAAACTGAGTGATTTCTTGGAGTTGCCGAAAATCTGAGCATTTTACATGGCTTTTATTGATTCAAACAAGCAGATACACACTTTACACAATAGACTCAAATGACAGACATAAAACGAAGGACATTAGTATAATTATCTAACATAACTTCTACTAGCTGATTGACGCATTTATTCTTTAGTTACTAGTAACTGCCTCCGTGGCCAAACGGTTACTATACCGGACTGCCACGCAGAGGTCCCCGGGTTCGATTCCCGGGCCGGGAGAAATATTTGTATGGCCTACATTTATTTGTCTCGTGAGTTTGGGTGTGATTTGTGGTTGTCTATGTGTGTCCATGGCACCCGCGACACAGGGTTTCCCTAGTGCGGGGCTATGTTAAGTGTGTGCGTTATTATTATTAAGTTCTAATGGTTTGTAAATGTAAGACAAGATTTTGGCAAACCATGTGCATAATATTGTATATTGTGTTATAAACAGTGATAAGGGAGTTAATTTACCTAAAGTATCGTTACTTATATCTAGACGTTTTCTTAGTATAGACGTACCCATTTCGTTATCAATGCGTGTAAAATTTCTTTTACATAAATTGTCTCAAGTTTTAAAATACGTAAATCCCTTAAATCCCTATAGAAACAACTACAATATCAGTTTTTGAGACAATAATTTGTAGCAATTACATAATAGAAAGTGCAATGTGCTCAAATTTCAATAAATAATACACATATTCAAATATTAGCAGTTCCGAGAAGTCCCGGGATTGTTGGGAAAATCCACATTATTCTTTAGCTTAGCTAAATTGACTCCCTCAATTCCAAACACTGGTTATAAATTGTAGCTTGCTGCATTAGTCTGGTTTTTTAGATAAATTAATG